CAATAAATGAATAAATAACAGATCCAAAAGTCAGGCAGTCATCCCATTTCTACAAGGTGAAAAAGAAAGCCTGGGTTCTGGACAGGCCTTAACTGTCAAAAATAAGAAAAAAATAGAGGGGTGCAGAGATTTCCTAATAACAACACTAAATTGTTGCTCACCAGAGACAAAACTACAGAATAAATGGGACAAAATGACACACATCTCTTCTTGTGTCCTCCATCCACTCAGGAGTGGAATAAATTAATTTACTAAGAGATCAGGTGACTTCACTTATTTAATGTCACGGGCTTAACTTTAGGTCTACCATTGTGTGTGTGTGTGTGTGTGTGTGTGTGTGTGTGTGTGTGTGTGTGGTTGGGGGGGGGGCGCTCAGCCTATATGTTTCTTTACTGAATTGTTTACTTTTTGAGGTTAAAATGCACTAATAATTTTACTGTGATTTACCTAACTGTCCTGTTTGATTTGTATTTACTCTGCAACATTTCTGTTCCATGTCAGTTCAACGGTAAAAAAAAAAAAGCTTACACGTTCCTCCATCTTTTTCCAACAGTAATATTTTACTTTTTTTGGTTGAATTATGCTTAAATGTACATATATGATGTAAATTTTGAAATCAGGTCAAAGGTACCTAAAGACAATAAGAGGGTTGCAGCTGTGTAGATCATCAGTAATTTTTTATTGTGTTAGAGTAAATGATGTATTTTTTTGGGGGGTGGGGGTGGGTGGGTATGAATTTAATCAAATAATTGTGGGGATCATAACCCCCCTGGTCCCCCCTGCAAATTACGCCCATGTTTATTCTATATAAACAGATGTGAAAAAATCACAGAAAATCAAGCATTATTGCAACTTCCTGCCTGCCTAAAGTTGAATATTTTCTGCAGATGAAAACAACTGTTTTTTTGTGACACGGTGTCACATAATCAGGAAGAAAACAGGCCCAGCCCTGCAGCCTTTAAACCTCAAACCAGAAAGTTGATCAGGGATGTCTGTAAACAGCTTCCGTCTTTCTTCATTTCATTGTCTTCATAAAAGAATTGAAACATTTTAGATCGGGTCAGGATGCACTAACCCTTGATTTTAAACTGCTATTAAAGATATTATTAATGCTTAAACAGTTGATATGCAGCTAAACAAATATGTTTTTATTTTTCTCAACTTCCAAACTTAAACTGGAATATGTTTCTGGCCTGAAATGCAGAATGCATCCAAAGAAATTGTTTTAGCAAAACATGAAATATCTCATGTTATTTGTAATTATTTCACAAGTCCAGCTTGTGTTTGCTTCTACACTTTTCTGCCATGTTTAGTGAGTCTTGGCTAAAAGCTAAGAGTTTAAATTTGATGGAAAAAATCATTGGAAAAACTTGTGTTTACCTTGTTTCCAGTGAATCTGCAGCTGTTAGACTGATCTGAACCACTATGACCAGTATTATGATTTGACCAAACAGAGTGGTAGGAACACGTGAAGCTTTTGTTTTGAAAAGCACTTCCTGGTACTGTGGGTCGGTAAGGGTGGGACATGCAGGCGGTGCAGCAGGATTCTTTGTATACTGTGTGAAACTCATCCAGCTTCATGCTCACATCTTCACTTTCAGCTGCCGCCGACATCCTTTCATCCACATCAACGGCTCAGTTCACCCCCCCTCTGAAACCCCCCGCTGCTGAGGGGAACGCCACAGAATCCCTCCCCACCTTTTCATCTCCAACAGTCCAGGACGCAGGCTTCAAAGCCCCCGCCTCCAGCACACAGCTTCAGCCTGACTTCCTGCTTACAGCTTCCACACATCAGAGCTCAGCTCCTGGTCGGACCCCCGCAGGACCCCCACACCAGGATCTTCCATCCGAACTGAATGTTGGAGATGAAGGTAAACGACATAAAATAATCATCTAATATTACAATTATGCTTCATTTTTTAGTAATTTGGTATTCATGTCTATGTTTGAAGAACTGAAGGGGTCTCGTCGCTCCAGTTCTCCTCTGGACCCCCTGCTGGCTGCTCTGTTGTCTGTCTTCATCGTAACCACTGCTGTCGTCTTCATCGTTCTCTTCTTCAAGTTCCGCCAGCGAACAAACCACCCTGAGTTCCACCGGCTGCAGGATCTCCCCATGGTGAGGAACAAATGAAAATACCTCTTGGACTGGATAGTTGGTATCTTTTACAGAGATGATGAGCATTTCATGTCCTACCTGCTGCATTTAAAGCTGTCACAGTTTGAAGAAATCGAGTATTCACAGCAGGAAAGTCCTTTGGTCCACTTGTCCAAAGACAGACTTTATTTTTTCCTTTGGTGCAGTTTGCATTCACGTTGTGCTTTTTTTTTTTTTGCAAGCAGACTGTTATTTATAAATAGCACCATGATGGTCATCGCTCCAGTTGGACAGAAATGATGTGGGCGGGACAAAGCACAGACCCAGAAAGAAAGATGCTGTTATTAAAACTGCAATACCAACGAGCAGCTCTAACAGTGGTGTCATGATGATATACTTCTAATTTTGGGTCAGCATTGGTAAATGTTTGCTGCAACCCAAAGTAGATGAGATGCTCTGCATGCCCTGACCCACAATGGCTCATTGTTTGTAGCACAGTGTTAGCGTTAGCAACACTGAAGGGCTAATTCTTACCATGTTGCTTAGTGGTGGCTCGTGAAGTCCAAAAAGACGTTTCCTGTGGTTGGTTCAGTTCAAGTCCAGTCCGTGTTCACACCAAAAACGAACCTCAGCAAAGTTAGTTTGGAAGTGGACCAAGACCACCTCAAAAATGGGTCTCGGTCCGGTTGTTTGATCCGCACCAGGGTTCACGAGTGTATTCACACCTGCAAAAACGGTCCGGACCAACAGGTGAAACAAACTTTAATCCGTTTAAAGAAGACCAAATGTGTCAGTCAGGTATGAATACACCCTAATTCTGATTGGATCGATGATCTAATGTCTCGTCTAAGAGGGGCCAAGAAGGGATTTCTTTCATTTTAAAATAACTTTTTTTCAAAAGATTTCATAGCAAATCTGACTTCATATAATTTGATGTTCATTTCAATAACTTCATTGAACGCACATAGAAAACTGAATCCAATTCAAAAAAGCTGTCACAACTGAACTGAAAAACACAAAAAATGTTTATTCAGTCAGTTTCACAGATGTTCTGGTAAAGTTCCTGTCACAATATAACATTTTAGAGAATGTATTCCAGCTTATGAAAATTTTAAAGACATGAAGATGGAATTAAAAAAACTGGAAGCCTCTTTTTGGCATGTACATACTGTAATGCTAATAGATCAATATCTAACTTTTATCAGTAATTTATTATAGTATTTATCCATTTCACTTTAAAAATAATAATTTTGGGAAAAAAAGGGGCAGATAAGATTTGTCTTCTGCCTTTTTTCATTTCAAGTGTGATTGTTTTCTTTGTATATAAATTTTTTAAATGGAATGAAATAAAACAAAAAACACATTACATACAACAAAACTATACAAATCAAATAAAATGAAAGGCAGAAGAAAAAAAAAATCTTATATTTACAAAAAATTATATTAATTTAAACAATAAACCAAATAATAAAAAAATTCAACTCCTCAAACAGTGACTCATACAAATTAAACAATTTCATATGTCTTTAACAATTTTGCTTTGATCATTTTTTAAAGGAATTAATTGATCCAAAGCTTTTATAATCATTTTCCAGATTATTCCATAGTCTTATTGTTATGAATTGGCAAAAATGAACCCAGGGTGCAGGCAGCTTCAAAAGGAAAAAAAAAAAAAGATTTATTGAACAAAAATTGCTGACAGGGCAGCTGAAAACTAAATTGGTGTAGCAAGGCAACAAACATACAGGCTGTGAACAGCACAATGATCAGACAGGGAAGTGAAGACAAGACTCAGAATATAAAAAGGTGAGACTAACAAGCACAAACAGGAATGAGGAGCTGGTGAGAGTGGGCGGGGCTGGAGCAAAGGCAAACAGGAGGAAGAAGACAGATGACAAGACAGAAACTAATGTAAAACATTAACACAGACAGCAATCATAACATAGCTCCCCCAATAAGGGACGGCTCCTGACATCCCAAAAACAAAAGTTCAGGAGGCCGGCCATGAACCTCCCTGCCGCAGAGGCCAAAGTCAGGAAAATGACCTGGAGACTCCCACTCCACAGCCGACGAGGCCACAGGAGCTGAGCAGAGCCAGAGGGAGGAGGCAGGAGCAGACGTGGAGCCAAGGGAGGAGGCAGGAGCC